CCACCGCAGCCTCAGCCTGCTGGGCTCTGGTGATCCTTCTGCCTCAGCCTTCCAAGTAGCAGGAACTAGAGGCACACGCCACCACGCCCAACTAATTTTTGATTTATTGTAGAGCTGAGGTCTTGCTAAGTTGCCCAGGCGGGTCTCAAATCCGCAGGCTCAGGGAATCCACTCACCTCAGCCTCCCAAGGCATGGGATTACAGGCTGAGCCACTGAGACCGGCTTCTATAGTAAATTAAAGTTAGCCAGGTACCAGTGCCACTGCACTCCAGCCTGGGTGATAGAGTGAGATTCTGACTCAAAAAATAAATAAATAAGCAACTTGGCGAGACCCTTCAGTCCCTGCCTCTCTCAGGCTTGAAGTCCAAGCCTGTGTCAGGTGATCACTCTCAACCACATTATCTACTATAAATCATCTGACAGCTTTAAAGAGGCACTCACAGCCGGGCTCTGTGGCTCAGCCTGTAATCCCAGCACTTTGGGAGGCTGAGGTGAGGGGATTGCCTGAGCCCGCGGGTTCAAGACCCGCCTGGGCAACTTGGCGAGACCTCATCTCTACAATAAATCAAAAATTAGCCGGGGATGGTAGCTACTTGCAAGGCTGAGGCAGAAGGATCGCGGAGCCCAGCAAGTCGAGGCTGTGGTGGCCGGGAGCGGCCACTGCACTCCAGTCTGGGTGACAGAGTGAGACTCCAACTCAAAAAAAAATTAAAATTAAAAATAAAATAAAATAAAGAGGCATTCACTTTAAAACACTTAAAAAACCTGGAAATCCAAGCTGATTCGTTTTCTTATGGATTTCTCTGGAGGAAGAAATGGTATACAAACTGAGCAAATAATCTGAATTTCTGCTTGGGCTCAGCTATGCAATGGGATGAGTGTTTAACTTCTGACTGTTGAACACTTGCGATTATTTCACTCTCTTGCCAATTTTCCACAAAACGTTGTTTCTGAACAGTGGAAGCCAGTCAGCCATGACTTGGACCAGTCAGCATCTTTCTTGGAGACGTACAGAGAGAAGGCTCAAGAGCATACCTTAGGCTGAGGCGGAAGGATCACCGGAGCCCAGCAAGTCGAGGCTGCGGTAGCCAGGAGCATGCCCCTGCCCTTCAGCCTGGGTGACAGAGTGAGACTCCAACTCAAAAAAAAAAAGCACACCTTATAGAGATCAGCTACTGTCCAGGTTCAAAACCTGGCTCCTCCATTTCAAAGGGATAAAAACAACATCTGGTCTCTCAAGACTGAAACCCACGTGCATGCCACACAAGAATGCCCTTCGCAGTGCATGTGCACAGTGAACGCCAGCGGTTTCACTACACCCAGCTCCCAGTTTCGCAGGGGACTCACCGGTGCATATGGGGGGCTGTACTCTCTGTACTTGCGGTGGCCCTTCTCACTGGGGCTGAAATCTGAGTCATCAGAGAAGTCAGAGAAGTCATCACTGGAAGAAGCATGGCGCTGCAATGACAGGGAAGAGGACTCAGCAACTGTGCTGCAGCAGCTGGGGACAGACGCTGCTGGATGTGCCGCAGGGCCCCATAAGCCACTTGAAACACCTCACCCCGGGGCATGAAGTGGCAATGGAGCATAAGCTACCAACTCTTTTAAAAAACGGTCAACATGAGGCAGGCAAAATGATTAAGAGTGCCCTCAAGGGCTGACAGGACAAGCCAGGTCTTGGGATCTAGGCCAGGCTTGAGGCCAGGCGGCAGCAGCCCCAGGGAACTTTCCTGGACCTACTTTGTGTTTAGATTTTCTCCTCTTCTTCGACCTCCTCTTCTCCTTCTCCCGCTCTTTCTTCCGCTTCCGCTTCAGCCTCCTGTGAGACTTCTCCTCATCCGAGTCGCTATGGTGCTTCTCGCCCTTTTCCTTCCGGCTTCTCTCGGGCCCTCCGGAAATGTCCTGGGTCTCCTCGGCCCCATCATCCTCCAGCTCGCCTTCCTCCAACTCACCATCTTCCCTACAAGCCAACCCCAAAACCACCATGAATACAGGGTTGAGAGGATATCTCGAAGGTTCTGAGCTGGCCGAGGATGCCAGGAACAGAGGCCTAACCGCTGTGGAGTGGAGAGAGGCCCTGGGAGGACGCAGGGCTGCTGCCTCTTAACCCAGCCCTCATCCTCACCTAAAAGGACTGTGCCTGCTCTAATCTAACCTGGCTGGGGGTGGGAGAAGTTCAAGGTACTATCACTACTTCTGGGACAAATCTATGCCAGGATTCCCCAAAAGGACTAACGTTCTTAGAAAAAGAAATCAACGAGGTTCCATGGTCACAAGAGTCGCAGAAAAAGCCCCATTTCTGGGACTCACAAAGTTTGGGACTAAAATCCACATGAATGCCATGCAATGAAGCCCCGCATAGGAACAGGTGCCCAATAAACACTGGCAGAAGAGCTGCTGAGAAGCCCTGTGGTCCAGAAACCCTACAGCTCTGCTGGGACCTTTTCTGAAACTCACTTGACCACAGAAGCACGCTCTCCCAGGGGATACCAACCAGCATCCCCCCCAGAGGCCCAGGGTCTCACGCTCAGTCCCAGCCCCCTGTGAGCTGGGCGTCAGTTCCACCTAAGGTCGAGGTGGTGGCTGTGGACAGTGGAAAGAGGGCAGTGGTCCTGAACCAGGGGCTTCCTGGGCCCCACTCACAGGCAGGCCAGGGCTGTAGCCTGAGCACACTGAAGGTGCCTTACAAAAGCCCCGTGAGAACCACTGGCGAGCAGGCTCTGAGCCCCAGGTCTGACCCACCCTGTCAGTTCCATTGGGCGGGAGGATGCTGAGCATCTTGAGGAGAGGGAAGAGTCCCAGACCATCCTGCGCCCCCCTGAGGCCCTCACATGATGGCTGAGCCTTTCTCTCCCTCCTCTAGCTCGCCTCACCTCTAGGTAGCCTCTGGCTCCCCATCCTTTTCCTGACTTTATCAACTACTCCAGTCATCCCAGTCCCCAGTACCTTGAAAACTAAAAATGTTTTCCAAACATGACAGCGACTGTCAATCTGACACTCTATACTCTGCGGGTAGGGTGGGGTAGTGGTGAAAGGAGAAAGAATTAAGAATGGAGGAGCTGAAAAAAGCATCTGGTGTTTAAGCCAAACCCACAGACACAGTTCTCACAAGTACAGAAGGTGGTAAATAAAAAAATACATATATTTAAATTGGAACCTCATTCTGTTGCCCAGGCTGGAGTGCAGTGGCATGGATCAGACTCACCACAGTCTCAACCTGCTGGGTTCAGGTGAACCTCACGCCTCAGTCTCCCAAGTAGCTGGGACTGCAAATGCACGCCAACACATCCGGCTAATTTTTTTTTATTTTTGTAGAGATGAGGGCTTGCTATATTGCCTAGGCTGTTCTCAAACTCCTGGGCTCAAGCAACCCTCTCACCTCAGTCTCCCAAAGTGCTGGAATTACAGGCATGCCACCGCACCTAGTGAAAAAAATTTTTAACTTAAAAAAACTCCCAAAGTTCATCATGAATGACCACAGAAAAGTTTGTGTGAGAGCATTAACATTCCTTCCATCTCAATTAACTAGGACACAAAAGAGAAGAAAGATAACGTTAAGGGCACTGTAATGAGCTCAGGACCCAAAAGACTAACCACAAAGGGAGCTGATCGAAGCAGAAAGGGAAAGGCTGGCGCTGCTCAGACTGGCTGTGCACGGCCCAGGAGCCCCAAAGCCTCTAACACAAATCGCAGTGGCTCAGAGGGCCCTCCACAGTCCTTTTACTCACATCACTTCCTTTGTCCTCCTTGGGTCAGCTCCCCAAACATCAAGGAGTCCCTCAGAGGGGCTTTTCTATTAACTTCCATTCCCAACTCGAGGGGACAGTCTGGCTTAAAACCCAAGTGGCCTGGCCCCACAGATACCCCAGGGTAGAGGTCAATGGCAGCTCTCGAGACAATGCAGGACAGGAAATTCCTTCTGTGGTTTCTTTTTTTTTGAGTTGGAGTCTCACTCTGTCGCCCAGACTGGAGTGCAGTGGCCGCTCCCGGCCACCACAGCCTCGACCTGCTGGGCTCCAGCGATCCTTCCGCCTCAGCCTTCCAAGTAGCTGGAATTACAGGCGCGCGCTACCTCGCCCGGGTAATTTTTGATTTATTGTAGAGATGAGGTCTCAAACCTGCGGGCTCAGGCAATTCACTCACCTCAGCCTCCCAAAGGCGCGGGATTACAGGCTGAGCCACCGAGCCCGGTTCTTTCTGTGGTTTCAATGAAAACAATATGGAGAGGCGACTCATGTGCACCTGGGGTTGTTTTTTGGATGAGCACACTTTGGGAGGGGGGAGCAGGTGGCATTCCTGACATAAAGGCACCTTTCAGCCTGGGTGCAGCCCATAAGGCAGCAATGGAGCACAGCCCTCATTGAACACCTCACCCACTGAACAGGCCACTGACTGGGGAAACTGGTTCTGTCCCAAAGGAGAAGTTGTTATTCAGTGACAAAGCAAGTTTCCTGTCACCCAGAGTGTGTTGACACTGGAGGTGGTGACTGGAGTAAACCTGACTATATCCCCATGGGAATACTGGGGGCGGGCCAGGGCCATACATCAAGAGAAACCCAGGAGAGACAACAGAGAGACTGGGTGAGGAAGGCCAGGGACAGACTGGAGACAACAGGCTGGCGTTCCACGGAGAAAAGCTCTGACGAGCATCATTCTCGACACACTAGTATGGAAGGGAAAGGATTGAGAGGGCCACAATCACCATTCAGGCCTCAGATGCTTCTGAGCACCTCCTTTTCTGCATTTTCCTTGTATAAAAGATTCACGTGACAAGAAACTCAGTCCAGCCTCCATAACACACAGGGTGGGGTCAACGGAGCCAGAACCAGAGGCAGCCTCAGACACCCCTCGTCTGTGCCCGATACTGCGCAGGGCAGGCAAGGGTCACACTCAGGGGCAGCTGAGGCCTCCATCCCTATCCTGATGCCACCCATTGGCTCAGACAAAGGTGCAGGCTGTTCCATATCTAACATCTGGAGACAGGGGACAAAAGACCATCCAAGGAACTCCAAAAGCCTTAACCATCATCCAGGATGGTTCTAAAAAGGACTTACCAAGATAGGGAAATTGGGCATTCAAATCCACTCCAAAAGACAGCCAAAGAGGGATTCTTCATACCATCAGTAATAACAATCCTAGCCATACCTGGACTTGGTGAGAATCAACCACACAACTTTTTACAAAACAGGCAGTGACTGGTTGGAACTTTGTTTTCCCATAGTTGGGAGAGGCTGAAAAATAAACAGGACTTCTTTTTTAACAAATTGCTGGCCAGGTGCGGCGGTTCACGCCTGTAATCCCAGCACTTTTGGAGGCCAAGGTGAGGGGATTGCCTGCGTCCACAAGTTTGAGAACAGCATGGACAACTTGGTGAAGCCTCATCTCTACAATAAATCAGAAAATTAGCCGGCGTGGTAGTGCGCACCTATAGTTCCCGCTACTTGGAAGGCTAAGGATTGCCTGAGCCCAGTAGGTCAATGCTGGGGTGGTTGTGAGCTTGCCACTGCACCCCAGTCTGGGCTACAGAGTGAGGCTCCAACTCAAAAAAAAAAAAAAAATGAGCCAGGCTCGGTGGCTTAGCCTGTAATCCCGCGTCTTGGCAGGCTGAGGTGAGTGGATTGCCTGAGCCCGCGGGTTCGCGACCCGCCTGAGCAACTTGGTGAGACCTCATCTCTACAATAAATCAAAAAACTAGCCAGGTGTGATAGCATGCACCTGTAGTTCCAGCTACCTAGAAGACTGAGGCGGAAGGATCGCCGGAGCCCAGCAGGTCGAGGCTGCGGTGGCCGGGAGCGGCCACTGCACTCCAGTCTGGGTGACAGAGTGAGACTCCAACTCAAAAAAAAAACCAAACCAAACCAAACCAAACAAAAATGCTAAGCTGGGCATGGTGGCTTACACTTGTAATCCCAGCATTTTGGGAGGTGTAGGAGAGAGGATTGCCTGAGTCCAGGAGTTCAACACCAGCCTGGGCAAAGTGGCAAAACCTCGTCTCTACCAAAAAAAAAAATTAGCTGGGTGTGGTGGCGTGCACCTGTAGTTCCAGCCACTTGGAAGGTTGAGGTGGAAGGATCTGAGTCCAGCAGGTCAAGACTGCAGTGGCCGTGAGCATGCCACTGCACTCCAGTCTGGACGACAGAGTGAGACTCTGACTCAAAAAAAAAAAATTGCTGGTGACCTTTGAAGGCACGCTGGATGTGACACTGGTCCAGTCACTGCATTCTCAGTGCTATCTGCCCATGTCATGCTCTCAAGCCCCGCAGAGCCCTGGGCTTAAACCTCTGCCGATGGTCACCTGAGGGGGGCCCTCCCACACACTGGAGATGTCCCCCAGCTAAATGTCCTGCTTGAATATGAGGTCTGACTATACTCTTCAGACTCTGTTTGGTAGAAAGAAAAGAGAAAGAATGCCAGGCCGACCGGGAGAGCACAGGGATCCTGTGGGCTATCAGCATGAGGACAAAGGCAGTCTCCACGACTCGGCATCATGTTGAACCAGCGCCACTTAACAGACTGCCAGCAAAATCCATGTCAGAGTGGGATTAAATACCGAGGGAGTACGCTTAATAGACCATGACATAATCCCCCAAGAAAAGTGGGGGAAGCCCCACTGCGCTAATCATTTCAATCTAGACCTGCCAAACCCTCTTGAGACAAGCAAGCAAGGGAAAAGTCTGCTGCAGCGGCCTGCACAGGGACCACACCATCCCCAGAGCCTGGACGGCAGTGCCCAGCACAGCTGCACCTGGGTCAGCAGCCAGAACGCTTGGGAGCAGGAAACCAACCACCCTGGGAGGCTGACTGGGAACTGGCCCCCCGGAGGAAATGGGAAGAGGCCAACACATTGCCGGAGTCAGTTCTGCCTCATACCTCCTACACGAAGCTTTCAGGGCATTGGAGCTTCCATTCCAGAGCTGGCTACTCTTCCTCTTGGGGTCAAAGAATAGGTCCAGCTGCCCA